CCCCCCAGTTGCAAATTACATGATATGTGCTATTGATTAATCTATGAATATATAATAACAACAAAATGGAAAAATCAGTAATTTCATAAAGCTCCAAAGCATCAAAATAAGCCTTTAGGGTTTTAGAGCTTCATCTCTGGACAAGAGAATCACAAAGTTCTGGTATCCTTCTTCAAACACCTGGAGTCCTTTAGATCCAGGTGCATCTCTTTGTCATTTTGATTTAATCATATGTTATTAATTGTTTGTTTCCAGAGGAAGGATTCCCTTAATTTTTGTTCAAGATTAAAATGCCCACCTTTGAGGAATTATTGGTATGCTTTTGACCAGAAGAACATGAATTGGGTTAGCAAATTAGGTCACTTGCCATGGTGGCAACTATCTGAGACAACCATGAATTAAGGGAGAATGTTTTGGAATCTAGATGAGCTTTCTCATCTGAAGTTCTGCTGTGTGATAAAATTCCTGTACGTGGTTCAATTTTGGACAGTTTTGGAACATTCAAGCCTGACTCGGACTGTACGCCTGTCGGTTGACAGCAGCAGTATCAGTCAGATTGGACCAGCCCTGTCTAGGCACGTCAGTCACCGCGTCTGCAGTTCAGTCCTTCCACCAACAGCAGAGTTGGAAAGCTTCTTGTTCAGTTGACTTCTTGGGGTTACAAGTTGGGGGCAGGGGGCTGTATTAGTTAATACACTCATTTTGGACATTCACAGTGCATACTTCCTGGTATCTGTTACAATGATAAATGTAAAACTGTTGTCAGAAATACTTTAGCTGAATCTTCATCTGAAAGTGTGCACCCTGACTGCAGTCCGTGACATTTCTGTATTCAACAAATTGATTTTTAAGTGTGGTCAGTTAAAAACAGTTTTGTAATCCACAAGATAATTCATTAAGAGCCTTGTGTAATACGGTACGTGTCCATTATTTTCCTTTTCTAAGTAACCGTGTACCCTTACAATAACTTTACCAAATGAGCCACTTAAGAGTACGTTTTAAGGATGTTTTCAGTTTAATTATCACTGTTGAAAGACATATCTCCATTAGGTTTGTGCATACATGGCAAAGAAAACTTAATCATTGACTGATTCATGTTTTATGTAGGTACTTCGAGTATTCAAGCTAATTGTATTCAGGTTAGTTGTCCTTTTGAAAAGACCGAGAAGTAAAATCCTTAAAACTTGCTTAGGAATCCCAAGGCAGAACTGCTTCATTTCCATGAATCAGGGTTCCGCTATCAAGTGAGGAAGAGAGATTTCATAAATAATAGCTTCCCAACTTGCAGTTCGGCTTGTTCTCTTACGCTTCCTACCCCTCTTACTCTTCCTGCTTCTTGAATATATGTTTTCTTTAAAAGCCTCAGCTAGGTTATTAATGTGAACAGCAATCCAGCGCTTCCCTTGGTTAGTAGACATGAAAAGATGTATTTTCTTTTGAGAGCTGTATTGTTCTGCAGTTGTGTGCATTTCGCTCCCATTGTGTGGTTCTTCACCAAGTAAAAACAGAGCTCTTCTATCCCTGAGGACAAAGAACAAACTGTTGTCGACGGGGGGAATATCTACAAAATTGTAAATCTTTCTCCTCCGCCTGTTTATTCTTCATGCCATTCAAACCCATTTAGAGAATGGCCAATTAACTCCAGACTCATGGCAGATTCTGATGGGCCAGATTTCTCCTATCTAAGATGACGCAGCCAAATTTCCAAATACTTTCTAGCTGAATGCAGCGTTTGGTTTTCCTTGCTCTTTAATTCATAGTTCCCAAACTGATATTCCAGTTATCAAACAAATCAACATTTTCTCCAATTAATGCACTGATCACCAGCAATATTGTAAAATATAGGGAAAATGTGTACCAGATTCATTTCTTTGCGCATCCAGTTCTTTATTATTGTGAGTAAAAGTGTTTAAAGATATTTGTCCTTCAATAATTAATCTGCTAGCTGTACATTGCACATCACTGCATACTGAAATATACAGGAAGCAGGAGTTTTACAGATTACTTTTCTATGGTAAAAACATGCTGCAAAAGTAATAATTTGTAAAATAACTCTAATCAGTGAAGAAAACACACTTTTGACTATGATATGGTATCCTCTAAGTAAAAAAACAATACAAACTGGGGCGGGGGGGGGAGCATGGAGATTCCAAAATTAAATGTTAGATCTGAATTATTTAACCATAATAGAGTGTTGTAATTAACGTCTGTACTGTATGTACTTCATTGCATTTTATGTCCTACCAATTCTTGATGTGTGGAATTTAGAAGAACTAAAAGCAGTAACTCAATTACCCCAAAAAATTGCTTTTATATTGCTTTACATTGACAAGTCATAAGTTTGAAAGTAAATTATGTTAATTATTTTACTTTGATATCCCATGCTGGTGTCTGAATTGCATAAAAATTCTATTTTGTGTTAAGTGGCAGGTTGCAAAGAAACTGTATATTTAATCCTAATTATACGCTGCTAGGATCAGGCAGTGCATGGGCTTGTGTTCTTACATAAATAACCTATATACAACAAGTGAGTTGAAAAAAAAACCACCATGCCACATTCAGACAAGTTCTAAAAAGTTTAGGTTTTTATAGCGAAACTTTGCAATATCTTTTGTGATACTTCTGTTTACTTTCTCAGAAAACTTCCTCTGTTTTCGCAGTCTTAGGTGGGAGTTTTGCCTCAGAGAGATCAATGGACACAAGATATATCTGTATCATCTACTCCTTGTAGCACTTGCTGTTACTGACAGGAACCAGTGAAATGCACTGCATGCTGGATGGTGGTTTGTTTCCTTTACTGATGCCCCTCTTAGCCTCATTAAAGGCGTGAGATCCTGTAGTCTGGAAGTAGGGAAGAATCCGGTCTGTCCCAGACAGAACATGCAATATCATCGGTAGCACTGAGCCACGTTTCTTACCCAATGAAAAACAACATTAAAATTAGATTTTTTTTTTTTCGGTCACAAATGAGTCAAGCAGGAGGAACAGAACGATTCTAAAAACAGAGAAGTATTTACCACTCAAATATCTGAAGAAATTAGCAGTGATAAAAAGGAAATACCGTAAAGAGAATGCAAAATGGCTTAGCTGGGCTCTCAAAAACAAGTGAGTAGTCTTTAAATTTGCCTAGATGTTTTTCTGGATTTTTGAGCTCTGGCCTTTTGGAGGGAAAGAATAATGTAAATGCCAAAAAGAGTTGGACAAAAAGTAAGCTTTGTATCCTATCTATGAGAATCAGACGATGTGTGTCATGCTAGTTTTTACAGTCATAGTCTACAGTCTTCCACTGATTAAAATCAAATTTGACAGTAACACAATATAGAGGTTTAACTGACAGCACACACAGCACATTTGCTAGTCATAATGCCACAGTTTAATGACTGACGCATGTGGGAAGCTAATTCGGATTTTTTTTCTTGAATGGGACAAATGAGCATCCAGTTAATACCAATCATGAATTCAAGCCATGTGACAAAATTGATGCTACATACCCTGTTCTTGTTTTGCATATTCTGCAAATTGAGCTGCAGGAAAAGAGCCAGTTTGTACACACATCCGGAGAGAAAGTTCATCCTGCTTTCTGACACATCCACCAATTGCAGCTGAATGTATCCAGCTTGCTGCTGTTGTGTCCACAAACTAATTACCCTTTCTCTGTTAAATAGCCTAAGAATTACAAATTGTATGCCCGTCTTGAGAAAAAGTACAGGTTGAACAAGCAGACGTAGTATAAATAAAATATTTATATAAAAATAGTCTCTTACAAAATATACTCTCTTATCCTATGGTTGATTTTTCCAAAAGATGGAAATTTGTCTGGATTTTCTTATTTTTAGGCATATTCCAAACAGGATTTTATTAATGCTTCTTTCTTTAATTGAAGAAAAAAAAAATGGTAAAGATTTGTAACCCCTACCGCTTGACTTTTGTTCCAGACAACTAGCAGCAAACAGGAAAAAAAACAAACAAAAAAAACCCCAAACCAAACCAAAACAAACAAAAAAAACAAAACAAAAACAAAAACCAAAAAAACCCCCAAAACAACAGTGTGTGTTTGTGTATGTACATATATATAAAGATGCCAGCTTTTGCACTTAAACATCTAGTACTGTAGAACATATCCTGCAAGTCCAACTAATAGAAATATCCTAGTTAAGAATAATATATACAGCTCCAGTTTTTCCTTGCTGTTTCTACAAAATTATTCCACAAAGAAAGCCAGCTATCTACTTTAATTGCAGAATAGTTCCAAAAATGTTGGTAGAGTTCTTTTTAATTAAATAAATTAATATTAGTTTTATCTGAATAAATTGTTAAATATTGCTATTATTATGCCCAAGTGTCCCAAATCCCTGTGCTAAAATCTGCAGCACACACACACAAAATAGGCAGATAAAGCAGTGTCTACAGAAAACTTCAACAGTTCTACTCGCTGTAGCAAATGGTATGAAGTGGAAAGATGGGCAAGACCAGCAGAAGCTTTTCACAAGTGTAGAAGCCTAAATCTGGGTCATCCGCACACTCACACGGGCAATTCACGGTGGGGCACTGTCCATCCCATCCTGTGCAAAGCCCTTTCTGAGGATTCCTCCCCTACCCCTCCCTGCTCCTTACACACTGAAGTTTTTGACCATCTTTTTTCCAAACCAAGAGTTAGTTGCCACGCTCAGAGATTTTTCTCTGACTGGTGTCTCTTCACAAGACAGTCAATGCTTCTTGCTTTAGAGGTGCAGATTAACTGAGATGATCTTTTTCTCTCTGTTTTGTGTGTCAGGTGGCTTGGGGTGGGGTTTGTTTGTTTTTGTTTCTTGGCTGACTTTCATAAGAGTCTGAAATGTGTATCCACATAAGCAATGAAACGTGAGAAGAAAAGAGAGGGCTCCATTCATCAGCATTTCTTCTGGGAGAGCAGGTCTTTCCTACAGTCTTGTGTAGGTATGTTGAGTGCATGTGCAAATGTATTCATGGCCAGGGACGTGTCAGCCTGCCCAGCCACGTACTCACTTACAGGTATATACTTCTGTTCTTTCACTGCACGTGTTGCATTTAACATAGCAGCACCAATGAAATTTGCAGTTGCACTGCCACACTCTTGAGTACTGGTGTGTGTTGTAACCTCGACCACAGCACATCAGATCGCAGCCATTGGACTGCTGGGCTGTCTTGTTGCACATCCTTCCCTGCGTTCCCACGCTGCCGGTGACGGGGTCTTCTTCACAATAATTGGGAGATTTTTCTATGTACACCAAATCTGTATCCATGGGTTTGCGATAGGAAAGTGGCTTCTTTATTTTGAGGAAGGTTGGACGCTTGTTACGACTTGCCCTCACTGGTTCAACTTGAACAGCTTCGTTGTATTTGTCCTTAAGGATGTAGCCCAGCTCCCGGAATTTAGGCAGAGTTGTCCAGCATGTTTTAGTGGTACAGGATCCCGAGACCCCATGGCACTTGCACTCTAACTTCATGTTTTCTTCCAGAATCTGTATTTGGAAGAACAAAGAATGATGCATTAATACAAGCTAGAGTCTTTTCAAAATAGCAGGGTTATCTGATGCATATTGAATGACAGTCACGGACGCTCTCCAGCATGAGTTGCCACCAGCCACAGGCCAGGCTCCCACCAGAGCTGTGGCTTCTGCTTGCCTGTGACTGTTGTCCCAGGTAGCAAATGCTCACCAGTGTCAACTGAGTCCTGCCTGCAAAGCTGATTCCCCATTTGCACTTCAAGTTAAGCAGGGAAGATAACTTTGCCTAATTTCATAGCCCGTGGACCAAAGGTAAAATGGGACCCTCCTTAACCACAGCTTTTCTTCGCTTTCATTTGCAATATGATCATACGTTGCTTCAGATTTGTCTGTTGTTGCAATTTTTGGCATATGGCAGTGAAATTAGGAACTGGCAGAAAATCACATGAAATGCCACATGCACGATGCTTTGAAAGTTCAACGATAGGTACTGGAACTTGATTTTTGTAAACAGAGGTTCAAAAATAAACTGCATTTCAGTTCTTGCACCTGAGAATGACATAAGCTGGTGCAAGACGTGAACAAGCTGATAAACTCTATCAATGCTTATCCTCCTGTTGGTCTCTTATTAATCAACAGTGTAGAGCAGATGATCATTTATTCATACAGGATTCATCTGTTCTAAATGTTGCAAGTTAATGTTCCAATTTGGAAATCTAAATATTATTTTGATATACCATAGTCTTAAGTTCTTTGCACTTTCTGGAGGGTTTGAAGTGTTTTGTCTCCTCTCACGTGGATAATGGAGCATACAAAATGCCCCAGCTGCTTTGCAAGAAAACGAGGTCTGTCTTAGAGTTTAAAGTGTAAGAGTAAAGATGAGGAATTGGTTTCATGTTTTGTCATCAATTCCTGTTAAAATTTTTCTACCTCCTTAATACTGTAAAAGCGTCCCAACCACCTAAACATCAAGGCTTGCTCCACCCTGTCTCATGTTCTCTTCTTTGTAGGGGTCTCTCATGCTTATGCCTAGGTTGTCACTACTTTCCTTTTGAAGATAACAAGCTTCATCTTCCCTTCAGCCTTCGCATCCCTTGAAACTTTATCCTTGTATCTTCTCCCTCTTGCTGTTTGTTTACCAACCCAGTCTTTGCCAAATAAAACTGGAGACCAGCTTAGTCCCTGCTGTCTGTCCTGAGCCCTAAAACTGACCTCACTTAGCAGCTACATTGGGCTAATGCTAGAAAACACACCTAATTCCAGCAATTAATTTCCCACTGGTCTTTGCTTGAAAGAGAACATAATAATTTTGATGATTAAATTCTGCCTAACCTGGCAGGTACCAGCAGTGGAAAGCCCAGCCAGAGGCCACGTGATTTTTATCTGGGTCCAGGGAGTGGCCACGTGATTTTTCCCCAGCTGATCTGTGCATCCCCAAACCTCGGCAGCCTCGAGGGCTGGAGGGAGGTCAGTGATATGCAAATTTGAATTAACCCTTTGCTATAACCCCCCCACTTCAGTTTTGGGCATTTGGAAAACTTACCAAGCAGACACTGTCTGCCTTTCTGCCGGCTGCTGCTGAAAATGGCAGCCTGCACCGAGGGAGCCAAGTCCGGCTTGAAGGCTAGACACGTGTGCTGGGACTTCAAGTCTGAAATCTCAGCATAAACTGGGGGTGGCAAGGAGAAAGAGCACGTCTTAAGTTGTGCAGCCAGCAGATCATAAGCAGTGCACGAACACTGGCAAACGTAGCTCCGTCCTGTTCTTGGCAGCCTTGAAACAAGTAATTTAAAGACTGCACGTAGTAGCTTATTATTCTCATACCTTCTGGTCTCGAGGCTGCTCCCGTGTCACCTAGGCACAGTAATTGCTACTGCCTAACCTTAGGGTAGTTTGTAGCTGCTTCTTTACTCATTATTCTTCCTCTGCCCCTTTTCAATGAAGATTGGGGTTTCAAAGGCATTAAAATAGCTTTATTTTTATTTCAGTCTATGAGTGAAGTGTCAGCACGTGTGGTCTGAAGACTGGATTAAAACCCCTAGAAAGTACAGGTCTGAGATTTTGACAGGTCTGAGCTTTGCATATATTAGGTCACATTTTGTGCTACTGTTTTAAAATTAGTTTTTCATGCAAACTAATGACTGCCCTAAAACTCAGCTGCGAGAAACTTTTATGTTCAGATCTACATCTTAACTTGCAGTTCTGCTCAAGCTTTGGCTTACATTTTGCATTATCTTGTTATCTTAAGTTTCTCTCTCAGCCACTACATACTTCTTTTATTGCTCACTCATTCATAAGGTAGTACACTTAGAAGATAGATGAGGAGACAGAAAAGGAGTTATAGCACAGAAACCGGAAAAATAACATAAATTCTTTTAGCCTCATTTGTACCTTTTAAAAAGCTCTCTTTTTTTAATTTGAAACTAGCCAGGGATACATTTCTCAGCCCTAATTCAATCACTGCTCTTGTTCAAGTGGCTGGCCTTATATCCTGGTACGATGTTCAAACTTGCAACAAAATATTTCTAACTCGCCTTCCATCAGGATCCGCCAAATTGACTTGAAACATTAATACAAAATACATCATGGCTTAGTGTCATCTACCCAGGTAGGGCTTTTTTCCTGAAGTGTAGTTAAATAGCTTAAATTGCCTTTTGGTTTATTTCATTACCATCCCATTTACAGCCAGCAATCTCTGAGAGAATGAGTAGTTCCACTGCAAAGAGCTGAGCAAGCGGCTGGAGCAGTTCAGCAACCGGGAGGCCTCGTGTCACGTGTCGGTCTCCTGCTCCGGGTGACATGATGCCAACCAGAACGAGCTTCTGCTTTTCTGGCCTCAGCTAAGGCTGGGCACGAGCGGTTAGGATAAAAAGGTCTGGTTTTGTCTGAACACGAGAAGTTTGAGCAATACTAGTTGAGCCCAAGTACTAGGGGTCCTTCTTAGATGACTTGGAGGGGGCAGAGGGATGAGAGTTTTGTCTTTTAGAACTGTGCCACGTTTATTGTTCTCTTTTTTTCTGTAGATAGCACTTCCTAAGATTTACTGGTTAACCCTCCCTTTTCTCTTCACACTTGTTGGGGGTGCGTTTCCAATACACTGTGTGAAAATTGCTCGAAAACCTCTGCCTAATTTGGGTCCACTGAACTCTGCAATTGAACTTTCCCTTCCAGTTCTGCCTTTTCTAACCCAGCCGCTCTACCTTTTGCTCACAAACCCTTTTGTTGGTTCTGTTCTTGTATATATATCCTCCTCGCTGGTGCTGTCTTTCAATGCGGTGTTTTGCAAATTCAGCCAGAGATGAATTGTCTCTATAGCCTTTAGAAAATAGGCTACATGTAACTTGAACTGTCTATCCTCAGCAAAAGCAAAAGCAAAAGCAAAAGCAAAAGCAAAAGCTTGCAATGGTGATTTGATAGTTTTATTGTACTGTGATATCAGGTGCTTGGACTATTTGTTTTGCATTAAAATATGTGGACGGTGATATTACATTATTCTAGCAGCCTCTGATAAACTAGTGCCTTTATAAATTCAAGACGAGAGTTGAAAAGAGAAGAAAGAAAATAAAATAGGGGATTCTTTGGGTAGGGGCAGGAGTCTTCGGTCTTTCCCTTGGATTCTGTGAGCCAAAAGAAGCACTCTACCCCTTAAAAACTTGGTCTGTGTTAAAAACAGAAAGCGTTCTTCACCTTTCTTTGAAGGTATTAGTCAGCAGTTCACACTTTTTACATTAGATTAAAACTTTATATATGTTATAGACTGACTTTTCCTAAAATGTAAGATCCTGAAGGGCACAAAATTTAAATCCTAGATCCTCTGTTTCTTACCAAATGACCATATCCAGCTCCGTCAGCCATGGAAAGTAAATCTGTATGCACCAGTGAATGCCCTGAACTGGATTAAATGCGAACAAAGAGCTGGAGTTCTTTTAGCTTTGTCCACTTTTTCTTTGAGCTCCTACAGTAAACTGTCAGTACTTGTTTTTCTCTCTCTCTCTCCCCCTTGCCATTAGCCTCTGGGAAATAGTTTGTGTGAAGAGAACTTGCGCTGGCTCTCTCTGTTGATGTTATCTTCAGATATAGTACCTTTGGGCACTGCCATTAGGAACTTAACATGTTTTTTCTTCGCCTTTAGTTTTGCAGAGAATGCGTAGGGTGCGTCATGTGAGGGTGGCAAGCCGTAGCTCTGGAGAACCCCGCAGCCCAGGAGCCGCAAGGGCTGGCACCGGCACTGTGTTGCTACAGTGGGCAGCGACGAGCAGGGGTGCCTGGTAACGGTACCCTGTCTGGGCGCTGGCTGAGCCAACGGTTCTGGTTTCCAGTGACACCAGCAGAAAGTGCTGGCTGCTGCCACTTGGCGCTGGAGTGGCATTTGCTTACGAGTGTTGCTGCTGCCGCCCTGCAGCCGCGTCGGAGGTGTGCCCTCCGGGCGGTGGGACGGGTGCTGCGGGTGCTCGCGTTGGGGCAAACGGGGAGGTTGTTATGTGGCTGGTGTGCTCAGAAACCTCGTGCAGCGGGTGTTCTCAGCTCAGTGTCTCTGTTACCCGAGTTAGTTAGTGGTCTATACCTCCCTGGGTTTCCAGCACCTAAAGCCAGCTGACTTTCCAAACGCATCTGCCAGTCTGGGACCCCACATGCCCACTCGCATGGGGTCGGGTACTGCACAGCCCTGGGTTTGGTCACCAGAATGCTAAAGCACTTGATGCCAAAGCTGTCCTGAAGGACTTACAGCGTGAAACCCAGTGACCATCGCACCTCCAGTGCATTCTCCTTCACCAACAGGATTTCCCATAGGAACTAAATCCTGCCTCGCAGTCAATACACTGCCAATACCACAGTGCCTGAGGCCAGGGACCCTTCACTGCTTCATCAGAAATAACTCAGACTCCAGTCTACATGTGAAGCTGAGGTAATTAGTGAGATAACAGACACTGATTCCTATCCCACCAAGGCCATAATCTTTCCTAATTTTGTCTGACATCAGATCACCTGGGTCAGGAAATACCCATCTCCTACAA